CCTACTCTGATAAGATTGGTGACCAAAAAAAAAAAAAGGGAGGGAGGGAGGAAGGGAGGGAGGGAGGGAGGGAGGGAGGGAGAGAGAGAGAGAGAGAGAGAGAGAGAGAGAGAGATCTACCATGTGAAGACATAGCAAGTGGCCATCTGCAAGCCAGGAAGACGGCTCTTGCCAGAAATGGAATTGGCCAACACCTTGATCTTGGACTCCCAGCCTCCAGAACTGTGAGAAAATTAACTTCTGTTGTTTAAGCCACCCGGTCTATGGTATTTTGTTATGGCAGCCTGAGCAGACTAACACCACTCCAACATTGGCCTTTTTTAAAACCATTTTATGATCTGAATATAGCCATTTGTTTTAGAAACAGAATATACAAATACCATAGACAAATTCTCACTCGATTTTAGAGGTTATATAGGACCTCTTTAAACTCCCAAGGCTTGTACACAAAGAGAAGTTCTCTTAGGACACAGTACGCCTTGGTGCATGCTGTAATCTTGAAGGCCTTCCTTCCAAAGGGCTCTGTGGATTAACTTGGTTTCCTATTCCCCAGAATGGCAGCCAAGTGCTGAGGCCTACATTCCCCATTAGTCCAGGTACTGGGGGTCATCAGAGCAGGTGTTTGGGGCTTTGACCTCACTCCGAAGAGAAAAGGTTACAAGAATGACTGTGGAAGAGCAGAGTGGTTGAAGGTGTTCAGCATCCATATTCAAAAGACTGAAAAAGCTCTCATAATCTGTGATGTACACAGAGACCCCTTCACAGGTTTAACAATCACCCACCCTAGAGAGATATGGATAGAGACAGATCTTGGCACCCTGCCTTGACCTCTGAAAACCCCACACCTCTGATAAGCCCCATGCAGGAGGAGACAGAAGGTGGGCACAGCTGGAGCAGCTCTTTGATCAAGAGCCAACGAGGTGACAGGAGGTGGCAGCTGTGTAGACCAGCCAACCCCAAGAAGGCAGGCTATCCACAGGTTAGGGAAGAAAGCTGGCCTTCTGCAGTCAAAAGACATGGAACATTGAGGTAGTGGAGTTATCCTGATTAACAGGGACAAGGACTCCTGCTTCTCTTACCCTGCAGGAGAATCAAGGAGGATCACGGTCTTTGTTCTCCTCAGTCTTACGGACACCTGTGGCAA